ATGCCTTTTCATTAAAGAACAAAACAAAACACATGGAGGGGTTTTGGAGTCTTTCCAGCAACAGTAGTCAATTTGGAAACTAGTTCACCTACTTTATCTGGCAGAAGGAAAGTCCTAAAACCTCAAGGGTATGTACAACGTGAGGTTCCATGCCATGTGTACAGAAATGACTGTTTATACAAGTTTCACTTATCTTTACTAACCAGTTTGTGACCAACAGGTGACCAGGATATATATTGTGTATCATTAGGTAGCAGTCCATCATCTAAGATAGAACTGGAAAAACAAAACCAGAACATGGCGAAAAGAAATCAGTGAAACGTCATTTCATTGCAAAATAACATTAAAACTACATCTCCTGCGCAAAACAATTACTGACCTGCTATTGAAATCATAGATGTAATATGAAGCTGTATAGGAATACCTCCACAACTGCAAAAGAATTATTTTAATATTAAGAAAATAAATTTCACCAGGATTCGTGCCTCTTAACAGTTTGAATTACCTCTGAAACCCTCCCCACGCTTTTCTGTGACAGACAGAACACAATGAATGTCTCCGAGATGTTTTAGCAAAGACTAAAAAAAATCACCCCCCTCTTGGGTCATCACTTAAATACTATGATGGAGGCCACTGACTGATTAAGGACAGAGATACAAAGGCCAGAGATGCCGCAGATTTTCAGAAACCCTTGTAGCTACATGGCAGACTACTACAGCTTTGCACAGTTAATCCCCCTCCTTCTGCCTTACTGGTACACTTGCCGTTTTCTGTCTCATTTTCCACGTTTTGGAAGCACACATTATGGTATCATCTTCACATAAATTAACTTGGCACCTCAGTGTTTAGTCGTCCTCACAAGTCCCAGCAGTATTTCTGTAGCAGTTCCTCCAGTTCCAGGGTGCCCTATTCCCATTCATATTGCCACAGAAACAAACCCTTTCTCTCAGAAACCTGCCTCTTGAAGTCTGTATCACACTGTGGGCACTTACAGAGGGAAAGATGATGATGATGACAACGCAGACATGTTTAAATGCGTTCACTACGTGGGGCTGAAGAGGTTCGATTCAGCCCACGGCGCTGACATGCTACAATAACGCTACCTTCTATGATGGTTCTTGAAGATTTGTATGAAGATATAAAACAATAACTTAGTACTACACAACCAGATGGCTATTACATAAGAAGCGTCTACATCCTCATGATTCATTTTCGTACTCTGTTTTCTTGCAATGAAGATTAATAATAACACAACTTTCAATCATACTATTACATAAAGGTTAAAAGATCTTGCTTCAGCGTTAAAATAAAATTAACTCTAGTGACTGCAACAAATAAAATACTCGTATTGGGTTTGCATGGCAAGGTTTTGGTAGTGGCAGGGGCTACAGGGGTGGCTTCTGTGAGAAGCTGCTAGAAGCCTCCTCAGAGCCAATGCCAGCCGGCTTCAAGACGGACCTGCCGCTGGCCATGGCCAAGCCCATCAGTGATGGTGGCAGCACCTCTGGGATAACATAGTTAAGAAGAGGAAAAAAAG